GGAGGAGGAGAGGAGGAGGAGGAGGAGGAGGAGGAGAGGAGGAGGAGGGGAGGAGGAGGAGGAGGAGGAGGAGGAGGAGGAGGAGAGGGCAAAGGGGAGGAAGAGGGACTTGAGAAATGAGGCTGAAAAAATAAGGAAGACGAAAGACGAGAGAAAATAAAGAAGGAAGGACAATTGGGAGGCGACAAGGCAAGACACGGAGAAGGGGGAGGGGCGACAGGATAATCAGGGGAAGGGGATTGGGAAAATGGGAGAGAGAATGGTCGGGCTGACCTCCTCAACCCCACCCTCCTCCTCTTCCCCCTCCCCTTCCTCTCACTCACCCACCCTCCTCTCACGCCTCCCTTCTCTCACCCCCTCTTCTCCCTCTTACTCCCTCCTCTCTCTCCCTTTTCGCTCCCTTCTCACCCCCTCTTCCCCCTGCCAACCTCCCCTCCTCTCCCCCTTGCCAACCCTCCCCTCCTCTCCCCCTTGCCACCCCTCCCCTCTCCCCCTTGCCCCCCCCTTCTCCCCCGCTCCCCCTTGCCACCCCTTCCGACACACTGCTATCTGTCTTGTCAGTAATTGCAGGCGGGGAGCGACTCCTTGCTCGCTTCCGTCTCTCAAAACATTTATCTCTCCCTGCCCTGACCCTCCTCCTTTCCCTGGCCGCCCTCGCCCTCCCCCTCCCCCCTCCTCACCCAAACCCCCCTTCCCCCTTCCCCTCCCCTCTCTCCTCCCAGCCCCTCCTGCTAGCATCCCCTTCCTATCAAAAGCTCTTCTTTCTATCTCATCAATTTTCCTTTTTCTTTTTTGAGGGGGTGGAGCCTCCACCTTTCTTCCCTTCCATTTCTTTTGCTTGTTCCCTTTTACCTCATCTCCTCTCTTCACAAACATTTAATTATACCTTAAATCACCTCGCAGTCCATCCAATCTTCCAATAAATCAGTCTCGCCCTCCCCCCCCCCCCTTTCCACATCTAAGACTAAGCGCCCAACCTTTTGGGCCGCCGCCCTCCTGCCGCTGCCCTTCGGTCACGGCTTCTGCGCCTCCCGCGCCTTCGACACATAGCCATGAATATCTACCGTATAGATAGTGAGATAACTGTGTATATATTTGATAGATAGAAAGATATGCATTTACTTCTGTGTATACACATGTTTGTATATGCGAGTATTCACTGGTTCGGGCCTCGCACAGTTTTAGCAAATTGACTATGTCTACATACCTACTTACCTACCTATCTGTCTGTCTATATATCTATCCATTTATCTATCTATCTATCTGTTTGTCTGTATATCGTTGTATGTCTACCCATCTACCTACCTTTCCAACTTCGTCCAATACTTCACAATCTAACCGATTTCACGCGAGGAAAACTACAGGTAATATGTGCGTCTCCGGCGGGCTCCTGGAGGCGCCCTGGACAGCGAGAACAATGGAAGGAAAGGGAAGGAGGGCAGAGGAAGAGGAGGTGCAGGAAGGGCAACACAAGGACGCCATCCTGACCGCAAATCCATAGCCAAGCCGACCTGCTCACGATGTCTAAAGGCAATGCTGTCCGATTGCAGTCGGCGTGCGAGGCGGACGCGGATCGCGAGAGAGCAAAAGAGCCGCTGGGCAGCCTTACCTCCGTGGCGAGCGCCCCCAGGTGGCCGGCGTTGCGGTGCGCCTCCTCCGAGAGCCGCCCCACTTCGTCCTGCAGCGCCTCCGACGTCGCCATGGCCGCCTCCGCCTTGGACGTGACGGCCGCCATGCTGCCTCGCAGGGCGCCCACGTCCTTTGCCACCGTCAGCAGGCGAGACTCGACTTCCTGCCGGGAAAGAGGGCGTTGTCAGGGGCTCCTTCGAGAACGCGTTTCCACCGTGCTTGTATCAGTATATATAAATATGAATACATATATAATACATAAACATAACATAACACAAACACCCATACACACACACACACACATCGTGTACCAAAAATAGCTTACCATCTTGTCATGCATGGCCTGGCTGACGTTGAGCGCCTGCTGCAGTTCGACAACGGAGTCCTGCAGTCTCCTGACGTTTTCGACGACCCAGGCGGCAGCAACCGCCTCCCGCTGCTCGTGGGCGTGCATGTGGGCGGCGCTGGGCGAGGCCTCGGCCGCCCGCGTCGCTTTCAGCCGCTGCACCTCGGACCTGCGGGAAGGAGACAGAAATAAGCGTGTGGACGCGAACGCCGACGAAGGCGAGGCAGCGACGCACCAAGGCCGCCGAGGCGCCCTCGGAGCGACGCCGTCGAGGAGCCGCACGGCCGCCGCTGCCGCCCTGGCGCCCTGCACGCGGCTCGGATAGCCACCGCGCCGCAGACGCTGACCGCGAACCCTTATCAGTGTGAATTATCCTCTCTCTCTCTCTCTCTCTCTCTCTCTCTCTCTCTCTCTCCTCTCTCTCTCTCTCTCTCTTTCTCTCTCTCTCTCTCTCTCTCTTTCTACCTCTACTCTACTTCTCCCATTCCCTTTTATTCCCCCTCCTCCTCCCTTCCTCCTCCCACTTCCTCCTCCTCCTTTTCCATCTGCCCCTCTCCCTAATTCTCTTTTTCTCTCCCTTAATTATCTGATCTATCTCTATCCCGCTTTCCCATTGCCCCTTCTATTCCTTTTCACAATACCTGACCCTTCCTTTCCCACCGCCTCTCCAGCCCCAGCAGGTAACCCTATATGGGGGTAGAAGGCAGGGGGAGAGGGAAGGGAGGGGGGAGCGGAGAGGTGCTGGCGCGACACCTCCGGCGCCCCTTCCTTCCTGCGCCGCCCCTGAGGCTGCTGGCGATTAGGCCTAGTAATCGGATAGGCCGCAGCCCCCTCCCCCGCCCCGCCATCTGGTATCATGATACGTATTATGGATAATGAGAGAACCCACGGTGTTTTATCTCGATCAGCGGCCACCTGTGTGAGGGGGGGGGGGCGTTGTGCGCGAGGGAATACTAGCGCGCGCGTGCTTGCACGAATGGGTTCCCTCTACGGTGGGCTCGGCAGCAGTTGGGCAGCCGCACGACGTCTCATAGACCGACATTGAGGCAGGGAAGCGCCGCCAGCAGGGCACCGCCCGCGGGAGGGAGGAAGCACAGCGGCAGACAGGACCAGGGAGAGGAGCGGCCATGGCAGAAGGACGCGCCGATGCCCATGGGAGATGCCCCGGAGGTCAAGGCAGCCTAAAGACGTAACTGGAAACTTTTAAGCTGACGGATGCCCTTGACGTGGATGGCGCTGCCACGCCCCCGTGCATGCGAGGGCTCACGCTGCATGACTTTCGGAAACGTTTAAATATCAATCAAATATTGTGCTTTTGCTCGCTCGCTCGCTCGCTCTCGCTCTCGCTCTTCTCTCTCTCTCTCTCTCTCTCTCTCTCTCTCTCTCTCTCTCTCTCTCCTCTCTCTCTCTCTCTCTCTCTCTCTCTCTCTCTCTCTCTCAACACCATTATTCAACATATACTTTATCTTGCTTGTCATTTCCAAATTTCTAAATAATCAAGAAAAACATCGACATATCCTCCTCTTTTCTTCTGGCTCTTCCTCCTTTCGGCCTTCCTTCCTTTCTTTCTTGCTCCTCTTTCCTTATACATGTTGTTTTGCTAGTATTACTGTTGTTGGCCGAAGCATGATCTCTCCCCTTTTCCCTTATTTTTCGCTGTTCTTTTCTTCAGTTTTTCCTTCCTTCTTCCCTAGTCTTTTCTCCTCTTCTACCTCCCCCATTTCCACCTCCTCCTTCTCCTCCTCCTCTTCTTCTTCTTCTTCTTCTTTCTTCTTCTTCTTCTCTTCTTTTTCTTTTTCTTCTTCTTTCTTCTTTTCTTCTTCTTCTTCTTCTTCTTCCTCCTCCTCCTCCTCCTCTTCCTTCTCCTTCTTCTCCTTATTATTATTAGTAATAGTAGTAGTATCATTATTATTATTCTCCTCCTTTCTCCTTCTTCTTCTTTTCTTCTTCTTCTTCTTCTTCTTCTTCTTCTTCTTCTTCTTCTTCTTCTTCTTCTTCTTCTTCTCCTCCTCCTCCTCCTCCGCGCCCTCAGCACCTCCAAGCCCTCAGCACCTCCAAGCCTCAGCACCTCCAAGCCCTCAGCACCTCCAAGCCCTCAGCACCTCCAAGCCCTCAGCACCTCCAAGCCCTCAGCACCTCCAAGCCCTCAGCACCTCCAAGCCCTCAGCACCTCCAAGCCCTCAGCACCTCCAAGCCCTCAGCACCTCACGCCCTCAGCACCTCCACGCCCTCAGCACCTCCAAGCCCTCAGCACCTCCAAGCCCTCAGCACCTCCAAGCCCTCAGCACCTCCAAGCCCTCAGCACCACCGTCACATCACGTCTCCATCCTCCTCGACCCCAAACGATCAGCCGAGAGCTAATGACGGCGCCATTGTCTGTGGTTGACCCTCTCCGCTTCCCCTTGACTCCTCCATCACCCTTGCGGCGGGGGTCACGTGGCGGGGAGAGAAGGGAGGGGGAGAGAGGAGAGGGGGAGAGGGGAGCATGATGTTGATGAGGTCGGGCAGGATGGTGTTCATGGTGCTGGCGGAGGGCGGTCGTTGTGCTGCGATGTGGTGTCGAAGGCAAGCCCCTCCCCCTGACCCTGCCTTTCATCCTATCGCTCCCTGCGGATCCACCGCTCGCTCCTTCCCTGTCCCTCTTGCCTTCGTCGCTCCCTCGCCCGTCCTCCTCTCTACCTTTTCCTTTGTCCGTTTCGCTTTCCTCGCGCCTCCGAGAGATTCCTTCGACATCGTCGTCCTTCCCAGTTGGCGCTGCGGCCGCCCCGGGCTCGCCAGCCCGCGTCCGCGCCGCCAATTACTCCACTTCCATCCGCGGGCGAAGAGGCGGGGAGGGAGGGAGGGGAAGGAAGGAAGGAGGGAGGAGGGAAAGGAGGGAAAGGAGAGAGGTAGGAGGGAAGGATACAAAGATACACGAGGACCCTGATACGCACAGAGATCATCCACTTCATCGCCCAAGAGACAGAGGTAGAGTTAATTAGTCAGACGTGGGGGGCCAATAAGACAGCACGCGAGAGAGGAAAGG